GTCCGCGCGTCTGTCAGATTGCGCGCTCTGTGACTCGTCCGCGCGTCTGTCAGATTGCGCGCTCCGTCACTCATTTACTGTTGTTTACTGTTACATCTGGAGCATTTTTTTTTTCTTCTGACCCTAAGCTTCTGTTTTGCTGTGTGTCCACAGAAAGCTGTCAAGGGTCAGAGCAGAGCGCTGGATCGCCTACGGAAGAAGATGAACGAGCAGGAGTCCTGTCTGCTCCTGCACTCCCCCACCATCCCATTCCGCATCCACAACAAACATGGCAAGGTATGTGCAACCAGTGGAGGCTCAGCTGTGAGGGAGAGGGAGAGAGATGGAGATTGAGGGAGAGAGAGAAGGAGAGGGATGGTACTTGGTTGTCCAGTGCCTCATTCGCTATGACCAAAAGTATTAGTTAAAGGTAAACCTTCAGCAAACTGGCCACCAGAGGGTGCCATTGCTAAGAGGAACTGGAAGCTTTGGTAGACATTCTCTTATGTTCCCAAGTGCCACCTCTTTCATCCCCTCCCAGAGCTACCTGTTCCTGTTGTCCTCTGACTACGAAAGATCTGAGTGGCGAGAAGCCATACAAAAACTGCAGAAAAAAGGTGAGTCAAGCGGGGTCAAACAAACTGAAGCTGTCTGAAACTGCGAGGATGCTGGCGGCTGATCATGCACCCTCTCTGTCCCTCTCTTTGTGTTTGCCTTGGGTCATGGGACCTTCCAGATCTCCAGGCCTGCGTCCTAAGTTCAGTGGAGCTCCAGGTCCTCACCGGCTCCTGCTTCAAGCTGAGGACCGTCCACAACATTCCTGTCACCAGTAACAAAGATGGTGGGTGTGAATCCTTTTCCATTGCAGTGCAACTTTGAATCACAAGGGGGAGACAAACACAAGAATAAACTGGGCATGGACAATGTCCACATGGGCTGTGAACGTAACTGATTCAGGCTAGAGGCAGTTAATCTCCATTCCAAAAAAGTCAAAAACAGAGACAGATGCTTGCCCAGTGCTGCTGTTTGTCTTTTGCCTGGCTAACTGCAGTATCACTGCTCATGTGAACGGCAGGAGTAATCCTAGGTCTTATATAAAAGTCACGTTGCTAACGTTCATGTTCCTCACAGACATGTCAAAGTCATGAATATTTTATTTTGCAGCAGATGGTCCATCATAAAAGTCAAGATGTGCGGTTTTATGACACTTACAAAACCAACGCTACAAAAAAAAAAGCACGCCCTGCACTCACCCTCTCTGCCTTCATTTGAAATCCACAGCCTCTTGCAGAGCCAGGCACAGAAATTTGCAGCCCTCTATCTTGGGGGAAAAAAGGAAGTTTGAAAGGAATCTCCTTTCCAATGTGTTTGTAATCTTGCAAAGGTTTCATCAGAGGGATCCTTCTGTGGATTATGTGCCTTTGCTGACTTGTTGTTTCTGTTATTTTGATTGCTGTGACATAAATACTTTCAGCCACATTGTTATGAAACGCACAGACAAGCAGATAAAACTCCATTCCCCCTTGACATGATGTTCTGGGTGTGGAGTGTCTAGGTCTACTTCTTCACAATCGACCACATACTAGTTTATCTGGGGCAGTGGAAATTGCATCATGAATGCGCTAAACCTGTTTTATAAGAATAAGGCAAATTTTTTCAGCTAATACTTGATGTGTGGGTTGTGTCCATTGGTCTTAATTATCTGATTGATTACACTGAGTGCACACACATGGTGTTTTCCTACCAAAGTTCAGGAACTTGGTTCCTGGTTCCGAGTGCCTGGGTTGTTCCCACCGCACAACAGGAACCTAGGACCTACAATTGGGCAGAGTCCCTGTGGTGGTTCCTGACAAAGGTTCCTGCAGTGGGAAAGTGCCTGAAATGTGGTTCTTTTTACTGGATTTTTTTGTGTGTAGCGCCCCCTTGTGGTGTATTGGGGGGGAAAAAACGCCTTGACCCAGACCTTGATAAAAAACACCTGGATGTCACACTGTCCCCCCCCACAGATTCCAGGAGTGAAGTCACAGCCTGAAATTATAGCGCCTCTTTCTATATGGGATCTGCTCATTCTAAGGAACTGTGCACATCACATGTTTTTATTTCGATGCCTCATCTATGCCCCTAGAAGTTAAAATAAGGAACAGCTGATGTCTGGGGGGGGGGTCCAGCCTAACAGGCATTGCTTCATGTGGAACAGGAATGTCGGTGCCCCCCCCCCCTCCGCCTTTGCCTTTGATACCCTCTCAGCTCCTCCTTATGCCTTGAGGAGAGGCAAGCATCCGGAGGGGGAGGTGACCTCCGATCAGGCCCACCCACATGTGGACCTGAGTGGCCGCTGAGGGCAGTGGGCTGTGTTAATGCGAGAGGCCCACGGGTCACCAGTATATGGTTTACACAGCTGTGCCCGCCCCCTGCCCCAGTGTGCTCCTGGAGAACAAGCTGGGAGGGGGGGGCTGATAATCTGTTAATCAGCGTTAGCGATGACACCCGTACCGCTGCAGGATTAACCCCCCCCTCCCTGTGGGCGGAGTCCTAGGTTACCACCCATGTGTGTCGCACCCCAAGCCGGACTGACAGTGATGTAGCGTTTGGCCAGAGTGAATTATCTTACTGAGTCCATCCTACGGTTCTCCAAGTCGACCGCGCGCAGGTCCTCCTGCCCATCATCTGTGTGCGGAATGCTGGGGGAGGGGCTATAGCGGTTCTGAAAGCAGGTCCGTGCCCATCCTCTGTCCCACATGGCCGCATTACCCATCATATTATGTGGTTTGAGTTCGGCTGGGACTCGCGGGTGGTACAGTGATGAGCCGATCGCCTTAATTACGTGCTCTTGTCCCACTTCGGCAGCTATTGTTAGTCACGCTGTTCCGTTCCTCTCTTTCAGATGAAGAATCCCCCGGTCTTTACGGCTTCCTCCATGTCATTGTCCATTCTGCCAAGGGCTTCAAGGAATCTGCCAGTAAGTGAAGCCTGTCACTCCCCCAACCCAGGTGACAGTATTTCCTCTGTGCAAAGGTTCATGCAAATCTGTAGCATGTCTTTCATATATAAACTGTGTGTGTGTGTGTGAGTGCCTCGGTGTGGTGCATTGCCTAGGTGTGTGTGTGTGTGTGTGTGTGTGTGTGTGTGTGTGTGTGTGCACTTGCACTGTCCAGGTGTGCGTGTGCGCTGTCCTGCTTTCAGGTTGTAATCAGCTTCCCTTTAAATCATCTCATGGTCCTGTTGTGAGCAGCTGTCCTTCATGAATGTTATATAGTCCATGGGGCACCTGGTACCGGCTCTGAAGCAGCCCGCAACAATGGGAGCGATTGGCTCTGCCGGCGATCTGGCAAATTCTTGTGGGGTTTTTTGGAGGCTGGAGATGCCAGGGATGAAAGCTCACAAACGGGGTTAGATGATCTGAATGGGTCTCCTGCCACGGGGTGCGGGCGGACAAGGGGCCCCGTTGGCATTTCCGCATTATATGTTGCAGCTCCTGCCGTCGGGTGCCCAGCCACTGTCAGCTTACTGCTCTGTGGGAAAGTCCAGAAACACTCTTGACACTCTACCGCCTGTGGGGGGAGCTCTGCTCAAGGAGAGGGAGAGGAACCCAGTCAGCTAATCCTCCCATGGAAAGACACCAGTCCTCACAACAGGGGGCGCTGAACCTTATGAAGAAACCTTTAAGCTGTAAATGGCCAGTTTGCTCTTAGGCGCCTTTCGCATTCAGGACCGGGCACACCATGCTGAGAGATCAGGCCAGCCCCAGAGTGTATGTCCATCTGTCCTGGTGTCTTGTGGCCTCTGCTAATAGTGGGAAGCAGGTCATATAATGTTCTAGAGACTCGCAGCACTGTGGAATCTCTCTGGTCCTGAATGCCTGCGGCTGCCTCGCGATCTCCGGTATACCTGGACTGCAACACCAGTGCTTCCAGACGGTGTCTCTGCACCTTAACTTCCCAGCTCCTTCTGGAATCTCTGAGCGCCATTCTGCACCAGGCCTTGGGGGTGTCCGGCCTGTGTTGATCATGACCGGCAGCTTCTTTAAACATCTGCAGAAAGAAAATCCAGTATTTCAGAGCAGAAAAAAAGATGAAAACGCTCACCACTAAGAGCTTTCGGATGTTTCCAGTCTGTGGACTTCCTGGAGGACTTCAGGATCTGGCTAATTGCTTGTGCTGTGAGGGCGCTCAGATTCGCTTGCTTGTGATCTCTGTTTTGCATATGGTTTGCATTTCTTATTGATTCCCTTGGCTTTGAGGCTCTACAGCTTGGACCCCTCATCTGTCATCAATTTGCCTCATGCGGGCTTGTGCAAGAGAGAACCAACCTTTCAGGGCACAGTGAGGAGGTCAACACCGTTGGCCCAGGTGTCTGCTGAGTACAGCCACACTCTTGCTCGTGTAGTCTAATCTAACAACTCTCTGGATCGGAGGGAGAGTGTCAACACTGTCAGTCATGCCAATTTACACACCAACCAGTGGGCAGAGTCTAGCCGATTAGCAGTGGATCATCAAATGTTTGTCAAGTTTTGCCACAGTGTTAACACACTTCGTGTGTGGCAGCCATCTGACCCTGGTGTGGTCATGTGACACCTGGCTTCCAGCTGATAGGCAGATGGGATGTTTTTGTTCTTGATTGACACTCATTTGGGCAGATTTTATTAGTTGCTTGTCGTTCCCCATTGTGTTCTGTAAGTTTCACCATTCAATTGGATCAGTGGGCTCCCTTCCAAGGAAAATCAGTAGTTACTTCTGTTAGTAGGATTTTTTTTCCACCTGGGTGTCGTCTTTGATGGTTCCCAGTCACGTCCCAGTAAATTGAGGAATTTTTAGAAGTTACCGACATCGTTGACAGGACCCATCTGCGCAGTAATAGCAGCTCCTCTCAACCATGCAGCACCCGGATTTATGCGTCGCAGCATTTTAAACATGCCCCCCGCCAACTTTTGTCCTCATTTAGCAGCAATCACCCCCCCCCC